TTCTTCATAGAACTGCTTTTACTGTCCCCCATACATTCCGAAAGGTTTGTCCAGATTATCATTTGCCCTGTGGTATTTATTTTTATTTCTTCTTGGATTTCCTCACAAACCCAGTGGTTATTCAGTAGAGTATTACTCAATCTTCACATATAAAATTGTTCCCTTGTTTTCTTTTGGTAGTTGATTTCTAGTTCAGTATCTTTAATAAGCACAGAAGACACTTGGTATGATTTCTATCTTTATGAATTTGTTGGTGTTGGTCTTACGATCCAGTATGTGGTCAATCCTGAAGAATGTCCTGTGTGCACTTGAGAAAAACATGTATTTAGCTTTGGGGAGGTGTGGTGCCCATAAATATCCATTAGGCCCACGTGGCCTAATTCTTTGTTTAGGGAGACTATGTTTTTATTTATATTCTGTTCATTGAACTGTCCATTGCTGACAGTGTGGTATTGAAGTCTCCAATTTCTCCCTATCTGTTTTCAAATGATAATAGTTGTCTGGTGTATTTGGTGTTCCTTCATTTGGTGAATATATATTGATGAATGGAATCTTCTTGTATTGCTCCTTTGATTATTATGCAGTACCTGCCTTTTGTTACTTTTTTAAGGTGGAAGTTAGTTTAGCTGTTTCTGCCTTCCTTTAGGTGACTTTTTTTTTTTGGCAATATTGTTTTCTATCTCTATGCTTATCTTTGGTAATTAGGTTTGTATCTGGAGGCAGTAGAAGGTTGGATCCTGTTTCCTAATCCAACTATTTACTCTGTATCATTTTATTGATTAGTTCAGTCCATTAATATTTAGAGGAACTATTGACATGTAAACATCCTTCATTGCCATTTTGTTCCTAGCTTTGCAGTTCCATTTAATTCTTTGTTGAGTTCCTTGTGCTTGTTTGTTCCTCTATTTTGTTCTAAACCTTTGAATCTGAAGCATGTTTTACTATTACTTGGAAGGGAGTGGGCATTAGTGAATTCAAACTCCCTAAGACTTCCTTTGTCTAAGTCCTTATCTCTCTCTAATTCAGGAAAGAGACACTTGCAGGATAGAATATTCCTGGCTGGCATTTTTTTTCTTGGAATATTTTGAACATGTCATTCAATTATAGTGTTTCTTTAGAGAGATCCAAAGTTAGTATAATTGCTGTTACTTTATAGATTATCTGTTTCTTCCACCTTGACCTTTTTTTTTTTTTTTTTCCCCGGTCTTGGTCTCCTAAGTGTTTACTTTTGCATTTTGCTATAGTTTTCCCTTTATCTAGGTAGCTAGGTATTCTTTTAGCTTCTTGTATTTCTATGTTCATTTCCTTCTTCAGATTTGGGGAATTCTCCACTATTTCCCTAGATGGAGTCTCAGTTCCCTTTCCTTCTCTTCTTCTGGGATTCCTATTACTCTTATATTTCCTTTCCTCAAGACATCAGATAAATCTCAGAGTGTTTCTTCATTCTTTTTCCTCTGTTTCTTTCTCTTTGTATCTTTCTTCTTACCTCTTATTCATCTTCAAGATCACTTATTCATTCTTCCACTTAATTTATTCTACTTCCATGGCTTTGTCCTGAATTTTTGCTTCCTCCTGCAATTGTTATTTCTTGTTGAAAGTTTCAATTTGGATATTCTTTGTGTTGGTTGTGTTTCTCATCATATTAATTTCCTTTTCTGAGTTTTCTTTGTATTATTCAAATTCTTGAGTTTTCTTAATAATTTGTATAAAAGCTCTTCCATGTATTTGTGGTTTGGTTCTATGTATTTTTATCTTTGCTGTGCATTGTTCCCCTGAGGGCTTACTTAGCCATTTATGTTTTTCTTTCTCCCCATTGTTTGGTTTTGATTTGCTCTGCTGTACCTCTGCTGAGTTTTGTTATCTTTGTGGTGTATTTTTCCCCTGAGGGTTTGCTTAGCCTCTTGTGTTTTTCTTTCTCTCCATTGTTTGCTTTAGGTTTGCTCTCGAGGTTTCATTTTGTAAACATCCTTAGCTCCCACTGTTCTGGGTGTTTACCTGATTAGGTATACAGCTACTGTGGTCTTGCAGGATCTGGGATGGTGCTAAAACCTCCACTGAAGCAATTCCAAGCCTTGTTCTGGTGATTAGGAGGGTTGTGGGTACTGGTTTGAGAGACTAAGTCACTGAGACCTTGTCCTGCACAGGAGCAGTGGCTCTGTGCTGGTTTCCAGTGGGCAAGAGTGCAAGGGGTTGCTGGAGATTCCTGATAAAGCAATGTAGCCCAGACTGTCTGCTCCTCAGGTGCTGGTGGTTGGGTACTGAATTGGATCTATATCTCAGATGCAGCTGGGGTCCCTGCAGTGAAGAGCTGTGCCCTATAAGGCCCAGAATGGGGCTTGCATATGCTCCTGAGGCACTAATCTTATCTATTTTTTTATTTAGTGTTTTTATTTTCTTCAGACACATACCCAGAAGTTAAAGTACTAGATAATAAGGTAAATATTTTCAATTTTTTTGAGGAACCAGCATACTGTTTCCATAGTGACTCCATTAATTTACACTCCCATCAAGTGGATGAAGGGTTCCCTTTTCTCTAATACTCATTAATGCTTATTATTTTCTGTGTTTTTGATAACATTCTAACAAGAATCAGTTTTTTATTTACATGTACCTAGTGATTAATGACGTTGATCATCTTTTCATGTGCTTACTGGCCAAATGTATGCCTTGTTTGGGTGAATGTCTATTTAGATCCACTGTTGTTTTTTTTTTGTTTGTTTGTTTGTTTAAACCTTTTTTTTTTTAAAGATTTATTTATTTATTTATACAAGCACTGGGTGCAGTCAGAAGGGTGGGAGGGTGAGGGAATTCACCAGAGCCAGAGCGGGAACAGAACAGGCAGAGGGATGTGGCAGGAGAGGTCTGCACGCCATGTGGGACCCTCGCCGGTGGCAGGGGATCGAACCACTGCTGCAGAGGCTACAGGAAGCTTCATAGCCCAGCGCTCAACGCTGCACCACCAGGGGAGGCCCCACTGTTGTTTTTTAATATTTTATTTTATATAATTCTTACATCATTTTTCATTTTTGCACAATGTATGCATTTTCATTTTGGTTATATTCCCCATACAACTGCACCACCCCCTTATTTTGACCCTAGTCCTTCCTTTCTCCACTCCACCCCCGTAGTGTGTCTTTGGTTTATAGTTGCTTGCAGATTTTGATTTTTACTTTGTATTAATTAGTCTTTTTCCTGGTCCCATATTAAGGTTTTCTAAATTCCTGCTATGAGTGAGACCATCCGGTATTTTTCTTTTTCTTTCTGACTTATTGCACTGAGCACTATCCCTTCTAGCTCCATCCATGTTGCTGCAAAATGCATGTGTTTATCTTTTTTGATTGCTGGGTAATATTCCATTGTGTATATGTACCACATCTTCTTGACCCATTCATCTATTTTTGGGCATTTGGGTTGTTTCCATAGCTTAGCTATTGTAAGACAGTTGTTCAGTTTCATTCTTTTGCATGCGGCAAAACACCATTTATTGAAGAGAGTTTCCTTTTCCCATTGTATATCCTTGGCTGCTTCTCATAATTTAATGTATTATATATGCATGTATCAATATCTGGGCTCACAATCTGTTCCATTGGTCTATGCCTCTGGTTTATGATAATGACATACTGTGTGGATTATTATAGCTTGGTGATAGAGTTTGAAATAAGGGACCATGCTACTTCCATCTTTGTTCTTTCTCAGTATTAGTTTTGCTGGTCAGGATCTTTTGTGGCTCTATATAAATTTTAGAAATTTTGGCTACATTTCTAATGAAGAATGCCACTGGCATTTTAATAGGGATTGCATTGAACCTGTAGATTACATTAAGTAATATGGACATTTAACAATATTAATTTTTTAGTACATGAGCATGGAATATTTTTTCATATACTTCAACCTACTTTAGTTTCTTTCATCATCTTATCTTTTTCAGTGCATAGGTCTTTTACTCCCTCCTCCCCCATGTAGTCTTCGGTATTTTATTGCTTTTTTATACAACTGTAAATGGGATTGTTTTCTTAATTTCTCTTTCTTATTGTTTGTTGTTAGTATATAAAAACACACAAATTTCTATTCCCTGTAGCACTATATATCTCCTGGCCCATTGTTTGTCAAAGCCATGCTTTTGGGAAGCTCATGTCTCTGGTGAGGCCTAACACTTTAATCCTCAGGGAAAAGATTTATAATATCCATCGCAATTGTGGTATTGTGGGTAGAGTTCCTGGTAAGGTCATGTGTCTGCCTCTCTTACTCTTCTTGATATGGTCTCCTTATACTTCATGTGGAGATGCTGATTAACTACTTTACCATTTATTTCAGAGGGAATTTCTCCATACTTAATTGTGGATTTGCTGTGTCCATGGGAGGAGGTGTATTCAGGATCTTTCTCTGCCTGTATCTTGACAAATGACTCCTACAGTTCCATTATGATTTTTATTTTTTTTGAAGATTTATTTATTTATACAAGAACTGGGGTACAGGCCAGATGTGCAGGAGGGTAAGAGGATTCACCAGAGACAGATTGGGGAAAAGAACAGACAGACTGATGAAATACACTGCTGAGGGGAGCAGCGGGCACAACAGAAGGGGTCTGCCATTATGATTTTTAATTGTGATGTTTAGGCACATTCCTATCCCTCTATTGTGAATATAGTCACCAAGATGGATATGAGGTATTTTGTTCTTTCTTAGGTCTTTCAGTATGAACAAATAAACCACTTTTGAGTAAGGCTATGTGACACAACAAAATCTCCATAATTGAAGTTCATATGTCTCCTACCATTTATACATCTTAGAAACTGGGAGAAACTGCAGTTCCCTGTACTTGTTGGCATATGACATGTAGTGTAAGAATTTTAAAAAGTGAAAAAAAGGAAGAGTATGTCAAAAAGACACAGTCAATGACAATATTTGCAATAGTTCAAGCATCAAAATACATAAAGTAGGATTGAATTAACCCAAGTTATAGAATAAATATAAATATAAATAAGTAGTGCTGAGGAAAATAAATGACTGAATAAACAAATAAATATGGGGAAAGAGATGAATTTCCTTAGCAGAAAAATCCCAAGTAATATACACAGATACTTCTCCCACCCGATCTGCAAGAAAGTGGTGTTCAATTCACTCTTCCTTCCTAGAGTATACCTGGACTTAGTGATTTATTTTCAAAGGCTAGAAAGTAATAAGTTTAGAGTGGACAAACAGACAAGCACTACTTTAACCTAAAAATCATGCTATATTGTGGCCCCTGTATGATGTAATGAGAAGGTACCGCACATCTGTGAGGTTCTTTCCCCTATAATGACAGTCTGTTCATGAGAAAGTTACAGAAACCAAAATTGAAAGGCATTGTAAAAAATATCTGACCAGAACTCTTCAAAATTCTAAATGTCATGAAAAACAACACAATACTGAGAAGCCAGTACAGAAGAAACTCTGAACACATGGATTTTTATTATCTGTAAAAATATAATGGGAGAAGTTACAATACTGTTCATTTAAAAACTGCTGACATCATAATGAATCCAGATGGGATGGCACAGCTTCACTGGCCAGCTCTTAGTGATCTAAAATATGAAGAAATAAATGGAAGATAGTCTTTTCAGGTCAATCTACTATATCCATTGCATTAACTGGAAGAGTTGTCTTCTGCCTATTTCTGAAAGTAGGACCATGCAACGGACTGGTACTCAAAAGATAAGAAGTTATCTAGATAAGGTTACTTCTTATCTTTTGAGTACCTCTTATGTGGCAGGATGACTCCTGTGATAACCTGATATTCTTAACTGATCTTGGCTTTACTCTTAAGTTCTATGGGGTAAAAAGAGACAAAATGGAAGAATAAAGACGTTTCTGTTCATTTCTTCTCATATCCTTCTTAACTTACCCAGTGGATGGGGAGTAGTGATGACTCTAGCAGTGTGACTGGGAATCCTTACTATGGCAATTGCACACTGAAAGAAGAAAAGGTTGATCCTTTTGAGTAGTATATACTATATCTATTCAGGAAGTAAGGCTGGACATTTTTTTTTAAGATTTATTTATTTATACAAGAACCAGGGTACAGGCCAGATGCATGGGAGGGTGAGAGGATTCACCAGAGACAGAGTGGGGAACAGAACAGGCAGATTAACTGAAATACACTGCTGAGGGGAGCAGCGGGTGCGACAGGAGAGGTCTGCAGTGCCATGTGGGACTCTCACCCGCCGGCTGGCCGGGAACAAACCAGCCCTGCAGAGGCTGCAGACAGCTTCACAGCACAGTGTTCAACTGCCTGCACCACAAGGGGAGGCTCAAGGCTGGACATATTGAGCAATATTTCTCATGTTAACCAAGAATGGAAGGTTATCATATTGTAATATCCTTAGCATATTTTATTTCACAAATGAATAGTTGTCAGATAAAGTCAGAACCATAAAAACCCCATGAATGCAGCCAGCACATCTTCTTTCTCTGAACAAAATAACATGAGAGATTTTTATTACGCAAGATTTCTAGACTCTGGTCAATAAAGAACCTGGTACCTTGCTAAGTACAGCCACAGACTTATCCTAAAAAACATTAAAATTGTATCCAGCATTAATCCATTTCATGCTCCCAACAAATAACCAGGAGATTGAAAGCTCTAATCCCCAAATAGATACTAAAGCTCAAACTCAGATCTACAGTAACAGAGGCCACTGACCAAATCCTCTGCATTTCCTGGCATACTCCAGCACTTCACCTGACAATTGATTCTCCTCCATCTTTTAAACAACACAAGAAAATGTGGCTCAACTCCAAATTAGGATGGAGTTTTCATCTCTATCTTCAGTCATTTGAGGAGGGCAAAATGGGAGAGTAGATGTTTTCCTATGTCTCCTTCATGAATATTCCCCTTTCTGTGACTACTTTCTCTGGTTCCCTTCAGTGAATATGGATCTACAGAGGCCAACACCACAGCAAGGGCATGAACTTACCTTGAAAATTCCTAATAGAAAAACATTTAAATTTTAACCTATAGTTATTCTCTCTCATTTTTCCTTCTTTAATCCCTGGAGGCATTGATTTATCAATGAAAAACACTAAAATTCCATGTGGGATTTATGGGGACCACAAAACCCTGCACACACAAGAAAGGGGTTTGTCAATGAATGCCAACAAACCATGAACATTCCTCAGTTATTGCCCTAACATCCCAGAGCAGTGATATCTTAATAGCTGTTACCCACAAATCTGCAATTACTTGACATCCCTCCAACCTCACTGATCTTTGGCTATTACTATGGGAAAATTGCTAATTTCCTGCCACTTACCACATAGGACTTCAGAAAAGTAAGTCAGATAATATATGGGAGAAATCTGTATACATGTGACCTGAACATGCTATTTTTCATCAATTAACCTCATAGAGAAATGTAAAATTAAAAGTTCAGTCACAGCAATAATTTATACAGGTCTCTATGTCCAACCTCACTCATATAGGAGATTCCACATCCCCTAAGAGGACCTCACATTCTACACATTGACGTGATCAAATTTGCTTCAATCAACAACTTCACAGGCTGACAAATAAGACTCAAGGGTCACATTCAAGCATTATAGAGAGTTTTTTTTTTTTTACAAAACTCTGTAGGTAAAGGGAAAGAAAACCTGAAGCCTGCTTTCCAGGTGAGGGGGCACAGAAACTCACCTAGATACCAAGACACAAAGACGTTGATAGTAAAGGAATGGAAAAAGTTCATGTAAACAATAACCAAAAAGAGTTGGAATGACTACATCATTGTAAGAAAAAATAGACTTTAAAATAGACTGTGAAAATTAAAATACAGAAACCTTATTTAAGTGAAGTTGGGAAGATAGGTGAAGAGTTCCCATGCAGGTGCAATCTGAAAGTACAAGAGCCAACATTCATTGCATATCTGGCTGTTAGTAGTGTCGCTTCCCTGAGTCAACAGAAGGAAGAAGCAATCTGTAGCCACTGCTGCACGAGTTCAATCCCCTGCCAGGGAGGTGACCCACATGCCGCAGCAGACCTCTCCTGTCTCGCCCACTGCTCCCCTCAGCAGTGTATTTCAATCAATCCACCTATTCTGTTTCCCACTCTGTCTCTGGTAAATCCTCTGACCCCCACACTTCTGGCCTGTACCCCAGTTCTTGTATGCATAAATAAATAAATCTTTAAAAAATAGAAGCTACATACATATTATTGCCATGTGCACATTTAACATTCTCCAGCACAGGCCATAGGTAGGAAAAGAAGATAAGTCTTAGTAAATTCAGAAAAAAATCAAGGCAGAAGGTATCTTTTCCAATCACAATGGGAAAAAAATAGAAATAAATTAGAGAAGTTAGTAATACTGACTTAATTATTGAAACAATTAAATCTTAAGGAAAGTAGCAAGAGAAAAAGGAATAATTATTTATTCTTATGAAAACATAAAACAATTTACAAAATAGCAATAAATACAAGTCTATTAATAATTATTTTTAGTGTAAATGGGCTAAATTCTTCAAACAAATGATATAGTGTATCTAAATGGATAAGAAAAGAAGACTCATCTATATGCTAGACATAAGAGACAAACTTCACATGTAAGGATACTCACAGATTGAAAGTGAAGGGATGCAACTAGAAATAAAATGAAAATGATTATAACTATACTAATACCAGACAAAATGGACTTTAAACTGAAGTCTATAAGAACATATAAAGAAGAAACAACCCAAATGCCCAAAAATAGATGCCTGGATCAAGAAGATGTGGTACATATACATAATGGAATATAACTCAGCAATCAAAAAAGATAAACACAGGCATTTTGCAGCAACATGGATGGAGCTAGAAGGGATCGTGCTCAGTGAAATAAGTCAGAAAGAAAAAGAAAAATACGATATGGTCTCACTCATAGCAGGAATTTAGAAAACCTAAATAAAGGACCAGGAAAAAGACTAATTAATACAAAGTAAAAATCAAAATCAACAAGCAACTATAAACCAGAGACACACAATGGGGTGGGGGGGCGGGGAGAGGAAGGACTAGGGTCAAAATAAGGGGGGTGCAATTGTATGGGGGAATATAACCAAAATGAAAGTGCATACATGGTGCAAAAATGAAAAATGATGTAAGAATTATATAAAATAAAATATTTTTAAAAATAGCTAAATAAATAAATAAAATAAAGAAGTATACCATGTAATGAAAGATAAAAATCCAACAAAAAGATACATTTGTTAATATTTATGTAACCAACATAGGTACACCAGAACACATAAAGCAAATATTAACATACAATAGCAGTACAATAATGCTAGGAGACATTAACACCCCCCAATTACATGAATGGCTAGAACATCCAAACATTAACCTCAACCAACATATTAGACTACAACATGATAGATTAAAAAAGACCATTCCACCCAAAGCAGCAGAATATGCATTATTCTTAAGTACACATAGAACATTCTCCAGGATAAACATATAGTCTCAATAAATTTAAGAAGACTGAAACAAAACAAGCATCTTTTTGGGCACAATTACTAAAAGAACACTGGGAAAGATACCAAAATGTGGAGATTAAACAACATACTACTTGATAACTATTGGGACAACTAAGAAATTAAGAGAAATTTAAAAATACTTGAAGACAAATAAAAATAGAAATACGGCATATTAAAATCTCTGCAATGCAGTAAAAGTAGTTCTAACAGGAAAGTATATAGCAACATATACTAATTATAGAAACAATAAAAATTTCAAATAGTAATTTCATTTTACATCTAAAGTAGCTAAAAACCATAAGGCACAAAATTAGTACAAGAAAGAAAATAATAAAGATCAAAGCAGAAATAATGAAAGAGAAATAAAAAAGACAAAAGAAATAAGAGCTAGTTCAATGAAAGAAATACCTTTTAGTTAGACTACAAGAACTAGAAACATTTAGTTAAACTTAAAAAAAGAGAGACTAGTAAGAATAAGTAAGATCAGAAACAAAAGTGAGGAAGTTAAATTGACACCACAGAAATACATAGGCTCATAAGAGATTACTATAAACATCTAAATTCTGATAAGTTGGGCAACCTAAAAAAATGGATAATTATTAAAACCATATGATCTTCCAAGACAATCATAAAAAAATATAAAATGAGAATTCACTGATTACCAGTAAGAAGACTGTAACAGTAGTCCAAAATCTCCCCCAAAATAAAAGTTCAGGCCAAAAGGCTGGATTGGCAAATTCTGCCATATGTTCAAAAAGATTCAATACATATCCTTCTAAAACTCTTCCAAAAAAATTGAAAAGGAAGTAACACTTTCAAACTCAATTTACAAAGCCAATATTATCCTGATACTAAAACAAGACTAAGATGCCATTTAAAACAATTTTTTTCAGTACCCCTGATGGACATCAATACAGAAATCCTCAGCAACATAATAGTAAATCAAACTCAACATTTATTAAAAGAATCATATAGCTTGAACAAGAGAGATTTATTCCAGGATCAACATTTGCAAAACCATCAATGTGATATACCACATCAATAAAAGGAAGATAAATATCATGTGATCATCTCAATAGATGCAGAAAAGGCATTTGAGAAAATTCAACATCCACTTATGATAAAAACTCTCAACTAAGTAAATACAGAGGAACAGTCCCTCACTATATTAAAGACAATATATAGCAAGTCCAGGCCAATATCATACTCAACAGTGAAAAGCTGAAAGCTTTCACACTATGATCAAGAATAAGACACAAGGCTTCTTTGGTGGCCTAGGGGTTAAGTCTCAGAGCTACCACCTCAACTGCCCTCCCTCAGACAAAATGGCCTGAGTTCAATCCCAGGGCAGGGAGTTAACTCACATGGTAGAGCAGCCCTCTTCTGTTTTGCCAGCTATTTCCCTTTCAGTCCATCTGCCTGTTCTGCTCCCTGCTCTGTCTCTGGTGAATCCTCTCACCCTCCACACCTCTGACCTACACCCCAGTTTACACAAAAATAAATAAAAAATAAAAATCTTACAAGAATAATTATTTTTTAAAAAATAGTAAGACATAACTTCAGGGCCTCATCAGTGGCACAGCAGGTTGAATGCAGTGCTGTGAGGCTATCCGCAGCCTCTGCAGTGTGGGTTCAATTCCCTGCTGGCCAGGGAGATACCCACATGGTGTGGCAGACCTCTCCTGTCTCTCCCACTGCTCCCCTCAGTAGTGTTTTCAGTCTATCTGCCTGTTCTGCTCCCTGCTCTGTCTCTGGTGAATTCCCTCACCCTCCTGTGCTTCTGGCCTGTACCCCAGTTCTTGTATAGATAAATCTCTTTTTAAAAAAGACATAATTCCAACAATTATTCTACCTTGCATTGAAAGCCCTTGCTACAGTAATTAGACCCACCCCAAAAAAGGAAATAAAAGGCACCTAACTTGGAAAGGAAGATGATAAACTGTGATTATTTGCAGATGATTGAATTTTATATATAGAAAATCCTATGTACTTTGGATGGAACTAGAGGGAATTATGCTAAGGGAAATAAGTCCAAAGGAGAAGGCAAATACTAAATTGTGTCATTTATGTGTGAAATATATGGGGGGGGGAATGTTGAAATAAAAACAAGCCAATAACAAAACCTAGAAATCTGACTGCAGAACTGAGGCTAACAGAGGGGGAGGGAAGAAAATAAAGTAGGGAGGAAGCACAATGGACCATGTGAAGAACTATGAGTGTTTGAATGATAGGTGTTGTGTGGCAATAGCATCTGAAGGGGGAGATCCCATATCTCTAAATTATATCCAACATTGTAAACCAATGTTACCACCACAACAACAACAAACAAAAAATTACATATTCCACCAAATACCCCCATTGAATCTAATATATGAATCCAGTGAAGTTTCAGAGTACATATTCAAAATATAAAAATCAGTAGCATTTCTGTATACTAAGAATGAACTATCAGAAGAAGAAATTAAGAAAACAATCCCATTTACAATTAGATTAAAAAAAATAAATTCCTGTGAATAAATTTACTTAATTAGGTTAAAGACCTCTACACTGAAAACTAAGACACCAATGAAACATATTAAAGAAGGTTAAAAAATGGAAGGCTATACCATGCTCATGGATTGGAAGAACAATATTTTGAAAGGTTTATATTGCCTAATGCAATATATAGATTTAATGCAATCCCCATCAGAATTCCAATAGCATCCTTCACAGAAAAAGAACAAAAATTCTAAAATGTATATAGATCACAAAAGATCTAAAATAGCTAAAACAATCTTGAGAAAGTACAACACAGCTGGAGGCTGATTTCAAACTATATTACAAAGTTATAGTAACTATATAACAGTAAGGCAGTGACATAGAAACAAAGATATATATCAATAGAACAGAACAGAAAGCCCAAAATTATCTCATGCTGCTATGGTGAATTTATTTATAACAAAGGAGATGAGAATACAGAGTGGGGAAAGAAGAAATAGTGTTTGGAAAACTGAACAGCCACATGCAAAAGAATGAAACTGGATCACTGACTATACCACGTACAAAAATTAACTCAAGGTGAATTAAAAACTGGATGTAAGCCTTAAAACCATAATACTCTTAGATGAAACCATAGATGATAAGCCTCTTGACATTGGTCTTAGAAATATTTTCTTTTTTTTTAAACTAACCCCAAAGGAAAGGGGAAAAAGTAAAAATAAATAGGACTACCTCAAGCTAAAAATTTCCACACAGCAAAGAAAAACATCAACAAAACAAAAGACAACCTACTGAATTCAAGGAGAGAGTCACATATCATATATCAGATAAAAGGCTAATATATAAAATATAAAAATCATATAACTAATAACAGATAATAAAATGAACAATGCAATTTTTAAGTGAGCTGAACTGAATTTTCCACAGACACACATATAACTAGTATGCACATAAGGTTACCACATTAATGATCATCAGATAAATGCAAATCTAAACCATAATGATTTATCCCTTACACCTTTTTGAATGGCTATCATTAAAAAGAAAAACTAAATGTTGGTGAGAATACAGAGAAAATGGAATCTTTCTGCACTTTGAATGCATGTATGAGAACTGTAGAACCAGTATGAAAATATGGAAGTTTCAAAAAAAATAATTAAGTAGAGCTACAATATGATCCAGCAATTCCATTTCTGGATATTTCTCTAGTTCAAAAGATATATATGTACAATATGCACTCCCATGTTCATTGAAGTATCATTTAAAACAGCCAAGATATAGACATACTTAAATGTCCATTAACAGATGATTTGATAAAGATATGGCATATATTGTGAATACATATATCAGCATGGCTGCTTAGCTCCACCTCTACTTACCAGCAACAATCTACTCACAAAGTCAGATCCATGACATGATGGCAGTTCTAACCCTTTGTGCCTGACATCTCCTCAGATTGGAAGAGCAGTAGAGTTTATAAAAAAATGTCAGGGATAGAGTTCATGAAGGATGTCATTCACGGATTCAGTTTGCTCCTTGTTCCTACCAGCTAGTTTCTCAGAATGGAGTGGGCCCTTTGCTCCCTGACAGGTGTGAGACACTTTAGGGATGGCAGATGTGGGACAATTACACTATCATTTTAATGAAAAGATTGACAATTTTAAAAAAACTGTCATTAAGAAACTATGGTTAAGACCATATTAAATAAAATGGGAGGCAAGATGATTATAGTAAATGAACTTTTAAATAAACTGAAATTGGAAATTCAGTATCAAGAATAAACCAACAGTTCACCCAAGTGTTAATGTATCGGATCTTGAACCTGAAAATCCAGTCAAAGGTGAAGAAATTGCTCCCATAAAAAGATCCCAAAAGTACAAAGAACTATGAAATGCCAATTATAATTTCAGATAGCTTTAACAGCATTCTTGCATACATGAAATATCATTTAACCTATTGTCAAATTAATGATGCTATTAAAGAAATCAACAAGGAATAGTTAGTAAATAAAGATCCTGCATCAAAAAAAAAAAAAAAAGATCCTGCATCAACCAAAGTGTCTATGAAGTCTGTGGCCATAAATCTCTATTACAGATTTATGAATGAAGAAACAAAAAAACCCAAAGCCCATTAATTTATAGATTATTTAAAGTGGAAAATGATATAACAGGAATTCACAGCTCTGTAAGCTGACAAGAGGTTTCATGTGATGTTAAAAATTTCACACTGCTTGATGTTATTAGAGGTGGAAGGCCTTTGAGAGCTATTGAACTGACCAATAGACATTTTTTCTATACTTTCCTTACATATAATTTATATACAATTTTAGGTGTTTCATTTTCTTTTATTGTCTTTTGTAAACCTAAAACTGTTAAAAATAAAGGATATGTATTTTAAAATTCACTTCCTTTCAGCAAATATTTAGCCATCTACTTTATGAGCCTTTATGCCAGGCATATGATGAAACTAAATGTTTATGTCTAGTTTTTGTGTTTAGGCATTCCCAGTACTACAGAACTCATTAAGAGGGTTCAGATATGATAATGAAGAAAAAGGCCAAGAAAAAGGTCAGGAAACTCAGCCCAATTTGGAATTAGAGGTCATTAATCTCTCAATGTCATCAATATTATTTTGGTCTACAGACAAAAGCTGGATTTGGAGCCAGCCCACCCATGTGATTATTCAGCTTTCCCATATGTTGTTAGGAAACAGCTATCCTTAAATACATTCAGTGTATTCCAAACTGTATTCCAATCCGTAAACTTCAACCTGTAATAAATTTGTCATAAATGTTGAAATAAAAAAGTAACAAAGTAACATGTGTACATGCTGGAAAATAGGTGGCTAGATTCTAAGAATTTAACCATATTTTTCTTCTGCACTGGGGAGATTATCTGGTCTGTGTATGACGTATTATTATACATTAAATCTGAATCTATGTAAGACATTAGCTCTATCATGTAGTTTATAGGAAACAAAGGGACAGAGAAACAAGCTACATTTCATCATAAAGAAATGATCAAACAATTCCAGAAAAATAACCTATTCTCTTAAAAACAAATCAATTAACAGGAGAAAAATGCAGAATCTTGTTTTATGTTAAAAGAAACATATGACACAGCCCCAAGTGGTGTGCCCTGGAAGCTTGTACTGGCCTAAGGTTTCCATATCAAGCTGGGCCAGAGCCCCAGGGTGTCCCAGACACATGTGCCACAGATCCTGTCTTTTCTTCTTTTACTTTACTTTATTGGCAGAGATAATTGCATTTGAAAAAAGCTTTAAATGACAATGAAACAAACTGAAAATTAATTAATTAACCTATGAGCACAATAAAGCAGACCTCACCTGCCCGTGAGGTGTATTTCAGCAGTGTGTGGCGGCTCCTGAGAGCAATGTTACAATTGCCACAATCTCGCATCACTAATGGGTGGCCATGCTGTTTTGGCACAATGCTCTCTGCCCCTGTGAGCTGGACTGGACAGTCAATGACGGGTAAGATCAGGAAGTGAGTCCTGACAACCTAAGACAGATGCAGTCCCCGAGGGGATTTTGGTTCCCACCTGTTCATCCGTGTAAAACAACAGGAACAAACAGGCCTGTGAATGATTGAGGCACCACTTAAATATGTTGCCAGTAACTAAGCTCATAATAAAGGAATGTAACCATGGAAACAGACTGTAATACGTGTAGTAAACAAAATAATCAAATATAGAAATAAATATAAACTAAAAAGATATTAATAATAGAAAATATATAATCATAAAAATGAATCAGAAGATCTAGAAGACACCTCCAGTAGGGAAAATAACAGTATGAAATGTCCTTGATTTATATGATTTTGTGAAAGATAATAAACAATATGTAATGATATGTGTTACGGTGATTACGTATACCTTGATAATGATTAACCAGATTTTGTGCAAAAACAATGAAAGTAATTATAGAGAAAATGTATAAAAAGGAAAGATTGCCTTCAATAAATTACACTCAGATTTTCACTCTCCCTTGAGTGTGTCTGTGTGTCATTCTTTCTTGTCCCTCGCCCTAAGTCCTTCGACCACCTTTAGCTCATTCTCAATCAACCCTGAGATTGTCTCAATCTCCCGCCACCGCTGGGCTGGTCCGCGGCAGGTGGCGCCCAACGTGGGGCTCGAGTCCCAAACGGTGGGCCTCAGTGAAGCTGGAAGAATTGGCTTTCTCTGCTTTGTGCGCCTGTGTGTTTGTTTGTGTGAGTGCTTGTGTTCGTGTTCCAAGGCTCTTTTGAGCCGCGGAGCCTATGTGGGCTCGTACCTGCAGTTCCGCGAAGGCCGTTACGGTTTAGTGGGGTCTCCCTTGGGAGTCCGAGACCGGGGCTTATACGGTCACCCCTATACCAAGGCTTTCTAATACTCCGCGAGGAGTACGGTCAGGCGAGCATCGCTGAGTGTTTTTAGTTTCGCTTTCTAGGCGAAAACCTCTCTAGGACTTTCCTTAGGAAGAAGACGTGTTCACGAAGAATGAGCTCTGGGTAAGCTATCTCTTCACTTTTTATTTCATTTTTAATCGAAGGCTAGGGAGTCTCGTCAGAGCGCCGCGGGCTCGCTGGTAAAGGCTGACCAGTTACAGACGACGAGTAATCCATAGATATGGGACACTCTCACTCTACAAATAGAGGACTTTTCCTTTCTGTTTTAAGTCATATGTTAAAAAGCCGAGGGATGACAATAAGTAACAGGTCCCTCAGTGAATTTTATGAGTTTATTTTAAGAGTCTGCCCATGGTTTCCAGAAGAAGGCAGTCTCTCCTTGAGAAACTGGAAAAGAGTGGGTAAAGAAATTAAAAAATTTTATAATCAAAATGGACCGACTCAGGTCCCTGTTCAAGCTTTTTCCCTCTGGGTACAAATTAGAGACCTTTTAGTGGATACCACTGAGGCTAATCTCTGGAAAGGAAAAATATCTGATGAGGGTAGTGAACATGAATCACTCCCTTTTGCAAATTTGGGCAGAAATTATTCGGGTGCTATTCCCTCTGCACCCGATAAATATGAGGAAATGAGGGCTCAGCAGCCTCCAGAACGAGATTATGCAACCATTGATGTGAAAAATAATAGTAATATTGACGAGGCTGTTAATGAATTTTTTAGAGAAATGAACGTTAGTTCACCCCCACGAACTTTTCCTATGGCTCCTCCAAATTCATTACAGAATCAACCACAAAGAGTCAATGTTCCTCCATTATCTGGAGGAATATTTTGTGCTACACGAGAAGCCCGAGAGCAGGGAGATTTTTCCTTTACCTTCCCGGTAGAGTACTGGGAGGGTCAGGAACCGACCTGGGAACCAATCTCTTTAAAAACACTAAAAGAACTAAAAGAAGCTGTAAGGACAACGGGGCCCAGTTCTCCTTACACCTTACAAGTTGTTGATACCTTGCGTGTTTCTTATCTTACACCTTTTGATTGGTACCAGACGGCTAAGTCTGTCCTGGCTCCTGGGACTTATGTCCTTTGGAGAACAGATTATGAGGACCGTGCAGCTGAACTTATTAGAAAATCTATTTTCATTAAAAATATGCAACCTACTTTGCCCATGTTGAAAGGAACAGATAAATATGCTAATGTTAGGGAACAATTGAAAATACCAAAAGACATTCTTAATGAAATTGGAATAATGGCAGTAGCTGCTTGAAAAAATTTGCCGTCTCCAGCTGGCAGCTCCACGCTGTTGGCAGGTATTCGTCAGCGGCAGGAGGAGCCTTATGAAAACTTTGTGGCCCGTTTAGAAGAGGCTTTAGATAGAATGCTTCCACATACGGAAGCAAAAAAAATGTTGCTAAAACAATTAGCTTCTAAAAATGCAAATTCTTTGTGCCAAGAATTAATTAGACCAATTAGGAAGACAGGTACCATCCAGGACTTTATTAAAGGATGCATGGATGCCAGCCCGGCTTTTATCCAAGGGCTAGCCTATGCTGCAGCAATGAAAGAACAACCATTTTCCTCCTTTGTGCGGTCTATGCCAAAGGAAGGAAGAGCGAGTGCTCCAATTTGTTTTAATTGTCGACAGCCTGGACATATAAGCAAAAACTGTAACAAAACAATTAACAAAGGAAAAAACCCCAAAAATTTTAATTCGGCTCCTGGACCTTGTCCACGTTGTGGCAAGGAAAATCATTGGGCAAGTAATTGCCAATCTAAAGTACATAAGGATGGTCATAAATTGGAGGAAAATAATGAAGTGTCAAAAAACTTCCAGAGGGGCAAACCCTCAGCCCCGTGAACGAAAGAGGGTCTGACTCAGCGCTGAAAAATGTAACACAACCTGAAGCGCTTGATTCTACTGTGACCATACATGAATTGCCTAGAGGCACTCCAGGAAGTGCTGGACTTGACCTTGCATCGGTAGCTTATGTTATTCTTTCAGCCATCGATGGAGTTACACCTATTGAAACTTTTTTAAAGGGTCCACTACCCCAAGGGACAGTGGGACTGATAATTGGCCGTAGTTCAAACTATAAAAAGAACTTTGAAGTTCTACCGGGTATTATAGATTCTGATTTTAATGGAAAAATTAAAGTTATGATTAGACCTTTAAGAAAAACAATACAAATTCATAAAAATCAGCGTATTGCGCAAATTCTTTTACTTTCTTATATTAACTTGCCAAACCCAATTTTAAAGGAAAAAAGAGGAAAAGAAAATTTTGGGTCCACAGATGTGGTTGCTTGGACTCAAAGTATTACAAAAAAAAGACCATTGAAAAGGTTAATTGTTAATGGACATCCAATTATGGGGTTGCTAGACACAGGAGCTGACCGGTCATGCATTGCGGGCAAAGATTGGCCTGCGGCTTGGCCTGTGTTAAATTCTTCTTCAACACTGGTTGGATTGGGCATGGCCAATAATGTTGCTCAAAGCTCACAAATGTTGTCTTGGCAACTGGGGTCACAGAAAGGTTTGTTTCAGCCTTATGTAATTCCTGCCTTGCCGTTTTCCCTATGGGGACGTGATATCATGGAGTCTTTGCAAATGTCTCTAGTTACCCCTGATGTAATAGATGAACAGGCTTTTTTATAGGGGCCATTGAAACTCAACACTATGCTGATAAAATTAATTGGAAAAATAAAAATCCTGTCTGGATCAATCAATGGCCCCTTACTTCAGAAAAGATCCAGGCTATTCAAACTATAGTTAAAAAACAATTAAATAAAGGTCATTTGGAACCGTCTACAAGTCCTTGGAATACTCCTGTTTTTTGTATAAAGAAAAAGTCTGGTAAATGGCGGTTATTGCAGGATTTGAGAGCGGTAAATGCAGCTATACAAAATATGGGTACTCTACAACCAGGTCTGCCCTCTCCTGTAGCAGTTCCAAAAGACAGCTATGTTGTTATTATTGATTTACAAGACTACTTTTTTACAATAAAATTACATCCAGATGATTGTCAAAAATTTGCTTTTAGTATTCCATCTAACAATTTTCAACAACCATGGCAAAGATATCAATAAAAAGTTTTGCCTCAAAAAATAAAAAATTCTCCTACTTTGTGTCAAAAATTTGTTAATCAGGCCTTGCAGGTTACTAGAATTAAATTCCCAGAGGCATATATTATTCATTATATGGATGATATTCTTTTAAGTCATCCTTTAAAGGATGTTGCAGACTCAATTTTAACCCATTTAATAGAACAATTGACAGCTTATGGTCTGGTAGTAACACCAAATAAAATTCAAAAAGATCGGCCTTTAAATTATTTAGAAAAAATCATTTATGATGATCACATTATGACTCAAAATTTACAAATTCGTATTGATAAATTGCAAACTCTAAATAACTTTCAAAAGTTACTAGGTAATATCAATTGGGTCAGGCCTTATTTGAAAATTACTACCGGAGATTTACATCCACTTTTTGCAATTCTACAAGGCGATTCAAATCCTAGATCTCCTCGTGCCTTGACTCCGGAGGCATTACAAAGCCTTCGTTTAGTTGAACAGAAAATTTCAGAAACAAGAGTTACTCAAATTGATTATTCTAAAACGTGGGATTTGTTGATCATGCAAACTGCCTATACTCCTACAGCCTGCTTATGGCAGGAGGGCATTTTGGAATGGTTGCATCTCTCCCATGTACAAACACGTGTGGTGATGGCATATCCATCCATGTGTGCATTTTTAATAATGAAAGGCATCATCAAATCTCGTGAACTTTTTGGATGGGATCCTGCAAATATTACGATTCCTTATAATAAAATCCAATTTAAATTTTTATTGCAAAATAATAATAATTGGGGAGTTGCCATGCAAAATTTTTCAGGACAAGTTAAATTTCATTTGCCTCAACATCCATTATTAAAATTTGCAGAAAAAACTAAACTTATTTTTCCAAAAATTATTAATTCTGAACCTGTACCCAATACAAAGGTCATTTTCACTAATGGCTCTTCATCTGGAGTCTTTGCAGTTTATAGTCTTAGAGATGAACCTTTACAAAAAGTCTCTAAAAATGTCTCTGCTCAGCAGGCTGAAATAATTAGTCATTATGACACTTGAGCATTTTGCTCAGCCTTTAACTTTGTTTTCTGATTCTAAGTATGTGGTTAGGCCATTTATTCTTTTAAAATAAATAAATAAAATATTTCTAAATAATAGTATTTAAAGTTCATTTACTATTGCTAAGGTAATAAAAAATGGTTAAATATAACTATATAATATAACTAAAGGTTTTTATAATAATATTCTAAACCCACTGCAAC